AAAAAAAAAAAGAGTTCCATTGAAATGATCCAGATTTGTAATATTTATTACCCTACTCAGGGTGCAACAGACTTGATCATTAACACTAAAACATAGAAACTAAAAAATTGCAGTGTAAGTTGCATTGATTTTAAATGGTACTAAAGATACTACAGAAAATGCATCATTTATTGGGTCTTGGCTTTTCAGACTGGGATTGAAATTGAAATTAATTGAATTAATTGAAATTGAATTAATCATGCACTTTAACCACAAAGACACATTGCACAAACATGAACATGCACATCTGCATAAAAGGTGCAAAGTTTTCTTCAGAACCACTTGAACTACTGTAAATTAAGACGTCCAGTATGTAAGTATGTAGGTCTTAAGGGTGAATGCAGAAATACGTAATYAAAATATTAGAAGCAGGAACACATTGCCAGAAGCACAACAGAAATGCCATGGGGATTATTACTGTTGTTGTTATTATYGTTGTTGTTCAAAGTGCTCTGAAATGAATGCACAATGCATGTTGTTGGTATTAGTTTTCTACCTTTTTGCTAAGTTAATAATTGAGACAGGAAGAGCTAGAGTTCCCTTAGTAATATATGGCTTTCTTTGTGACATGTTGTCCACAGTTAAACTCTAAAATCCATACACCCTACCACAAGAGATGCTAAGAATTTAATTGTTGAAATGCTGAGCAGCTTATGTTAACACCCCACATTTTTTTATAATCAGCATATAAGAACATAAGTTTACTTAAATCTTGATAGCGGAATTCTGAAAACAAATAATCCAAATAACTAAAATGGGAAATTGAAGCAGAAAACTATACATGCCAGAGAACTCAGTGTATAGGTAATATATAGTTCTACTTTTTAAGTGATAGTCAACAAGAAGAGTCTCACTACAAGCAAATCCAAATGGGAACTGATTTATGAGTTGAGCTACCCTGTAGTAGCTCTCACAGATCTCACATTCAGCAGCAAAGACAGGTTTTTCTCTCAAACACAGCATAAATCACAAGGTAACTACAAGAATGTGCAATCTGATATATGTGTACCTTTACTATCTTTTTTGTTGATGTCAGGGAAAGGAAAGAGTCTTGGAAGTTCCACTGACACTACATTTTGATCACTGAAGGGGATTCATTCCTGTCACAAGCTCATAGAGAAAAACACTGCAAGTGCTTCAGTTTCATACCTTCTTTAAAAGGAGCAACAGTGCTGAGGCTGTCAGACCACCTGAAAATGTTCTCATCCAAAAAGTAAAATAACAGTTACAGCCAAGCTGACTAAAGAGAGTTAACTGGAACAGCATTCCCTGTGGAGAATATTTGGCTTTCACCACTGCAGCATCAGTGAACTCTGCAGAGTGCATAGGTAAAAAGTGGGAATTCCTGACACTTATCTTTAGATCCAGGCACTTGAAGAGCAGGAAAAAGAAAAACAAATAAGGAAGGACTGATACCTTAACAGACATTTTATCATGTTTAAAGAAAATAAAAGAAACACTCTGCTCAATTTGAAAGGGACAGACAACATGCCTAAACTGCAGTGATAACCAGAAGCATAATAGAAATATCAAACACTATTTCAGAATATGGGAAGTCAATTTACAATAAAAAAACAGTATTTTTGTTGAAATGTTTCCATGGCGTTGTGGAAATGGTACATCTTTCTTCACCTTTGACACACTGTTTTTCCTCAAGTAAATGATTACAAAGTCAAGAACTGCCAACACAAAATTAAAATTACTCAAGAGAAATCAAGAAGTTTTTGTATGTATATAGATACATACACACATATAGATGTATACATGCAAACAATTGAATTAATGTCTTTTCAGCCTTATCAGCAGTGATAGAGAACATGTCCTGTTACTCTGTTTCTCCAGCCTGAATTATAAACAGCTTGAATTTGCACTATTGACTAAGTTTCTTGCAAAGCCAAGGTTTTCCTAAAGGATTTTCAGGTCAGAATAAAAGGCAGTGTATTTTAAGTGACACAGGGACAGCAACTATCAATTACCTCCTAGCTGCACACAGGCAGCTTTCTCTTGTCTTGTGGATGACAGTACCAGTCACACTGATGCACAGCACAGAAAATCCCTAATACTGTTTTGGATTGCATTATGTTCAACAAAGATGGACCAGCAAGGTCAGTGAGCAGATCTCTGAATTGCCATTGGGGACTACAACACAGCTGTCAAAATAAGCTGAGCTTACAGTCTTCATGCTGAATTTCAGAGAAAGGTAAATTCTATGAAACGAAAGTAGTTTGGTTTTATTTTTTGCCTTATCCGAAAACTACCATTAGATGTACTAACATCTAGATCAGTTTGGAGTGCAGACAGCTTATGTTTTTCCAAGTTGAAACCAGACAATTATATTTTCCTAAAAGGGAATCTTCCAAGAAGGGGAGGGTCTGAATTTCCCAAATTCTTCTATTTTTAGCAGGTCTAACAGATGCCTGAAAGGCTATTTTCATTAAAAGACACATACGGAGCAGATGCTACTAGACTGAAAAGCTTTCCTCGTGGGAAATCAAGTCAAGAGTTTAACATAGGTAAAAATCCTCTGTAAAACCTCTAATTCATACAGATAGGAAATATAAAATAACACCAGAAGTCAAGATCAGGTGTCATTAAGGAATTTAAAATCAAACAATATAATATCAAACCAACTGAAGAAAAGTTTCTAAAAGAAAATCAGATGTAACTGTATTCCAGATGGAAAAATCTGATAAGCATAACTTTAAAATAAATGCCCCATTTTCTGTCTGGCTACTACCAGGAATCCACCTCCTAATGAAAAGTAAGTCTACTATGAGGAATATCCCAAAATAGAGATTATGAAACTACAGACACATGATCAAGGTCTGGATGAAAATGTCTCAAAACCATGACAGCAAGTCAAGTACATCCCATCAGGTTGAACTATCATAACAAGTCCCACATG